TATATTTACTGCCAAGCCTGCATTTCAACATGCAGGCTGGCTGCATGCTAACCGCATCCTTTCTCTTTTGTTTAGAGGGCATTTTCTTCATTGTTTCACTACGGTTTGGGAATAGGAGAGTCACTTTGCGGCAACAAAAGGTTGTTAATGCTTTTGATTAATGAAATGAACTTTTCCTCCTACCTGGTGTAGTTGAGATTTGCCCAACATGTGTGATAGAAAACCTACCAAGTATGATGGTGCAGAACCTAAAAGTGTAATGGCATGGAAAGGGCTGGAAAGACCCTTGTTCCTTTCCCTTTCTTGACGGTGATCAAAGAAAATTTTTCCTTGTTTGATCTACCAGCATGATCGACGGATTGATGTCGCTCAATCAGTCTCAGATCTACCCAGTCTGTGCACCAGACTTACAACAATATATTCTTGTCATCATATCCATTCCAAGATGATCTCAGAAAGCAAGATTGCTGTTCTCCAACTTCTTTTGTAATTGAGATTTCAATACTTGGTGAGCCAACTCGCGACTCATCCAACTTAACTCAGTCACTCAATGAGTGAACTCAGACCAGGACTTACAAAGACTTGACCATTACTCAGAGAGCCTGTAACATGTACAGTTGTTGGTTTTGAACGATCTGTAAAATCATTGGCAATTCCGAAGCCTCGCCTAGGCTTCTGGAGAACAGTAATGGCCCATTGGGTAAAACAAACTTGTCTTCATGAAGAAAATCAATAATTGAAATTGTTTTCCTCATTATGTTGATTGATTGATATATAATTTATTCTTATAGTACCATGGTGTCACAAAATATTATAGAAAACTAGACATAAGATCTTTGAATTTGGGCAAAATTCAAGTCCAATTGACCAGGTCTAGACAAGTGGCATACAGACTGAATCAAGTTCAATCAACACATCGTATTATGCTACAAAAAAATAGCAGGGCAGTCACCTCTTGTAAATTTCTGTATCAGATGCCGTAGTGGTGCAGAAAACAACTGCAGTGATTTTGTCTTTCTGCTTCTCCAAAAACCGCCGAACGGTTCCTACCCAAGTCCAACAAAGCAGTTATAAGGTATAGTCAAAGTAGAACTCCCACTCTGTCGAAAAAAGAAAAAGGAAGTCCTATAAATAAGAAAATAGGGTGGCAATCTCACTGATAGCTACATGTGCAGCCGGTTCTCGAGGATAATTTTTGGCCTCTGTATATATGCAGCCCATAGCAATACTGCGACCAAACTCTCAAGTTAGCCCAACCACTACAAAACTTAAGAGAAGAATAATATACATCACTCCCAACCATGCAAGATATGCGAAAGCTAACATATGACCACCTCACCTCTGAAGTCCATTCTCAATAAGAAGCTCGAGACAAGAACGATAGCAATGGCTGAGAGCATTTTCGGCAGCCGTATGGTATTTGACAGCATACTTTGGACCAACTGTGTGAATAACCCTCCTGCCATATCATAGAGCATATGAGCAATTCATTTTCTAATACATCCACATAACGATGCCTCAAAATCAAATGTTGACAGCATGAGTTGTGAGTCTAGGCATTAAATGCAAAAAATATTCAGAATCTTTATTTCAAAGCAATGAGTTGCATGAGAAACAAGAATTAAGTACAACGATATAAGGGAAGTAACTCAACCTTTTCAAATAATATGTCAAGATTCAAATAGCTACCTTGCAGGAAGGTCATATGCATTTGTAACTTTAGCCATTCCGGTCCGACATCCACCCTGCCAAATAGAATTGAAATGAGAACATATTCCAAACTTTCTAGATATGTTGAGCAAATGCACAACCAAAAATACCAGTGAACTTGGGTGAAGTTAACACATGAAATACAAAGAATAATGCATAAGGCCAAAATGCAATATCAAGGAATATCACCAGAGTTGCACATTCTTCTGCAAGGCCAAGTCCTGCAGCTGCATGAAGACCAGGGCTGCTATGCGCTTCATCCAAACTCTAATTGAAAGCACAAAAATAAATATTGAGTGTCACAATGAAATGGTTTCTTTATTGAAGGAAATTTTTCATGATAGGAAATAGCAATCTAAAATCCCAAACTACATGAAAACTTTTTAAAAGATGAGCAATATCTAAAGTTAGACAACTACCATAGCTAAATGTCACTGAACAAGAGTTACTCCTATATTCAATTACAATTCCTAGAATATTATATTGTTATTTCACAAGAAGCAATGAATCTGATTATGGCTCACTGAGGCGTCATGGAGTCACAGAGTAAGTTTGGCTTAAATGAATAAATCAACAATATGGTATGATTTGGGAACATAGGCAATAAAATCGAATATGTCAGCTGGCCCAGAAAGCACAGGACTAGCAGGAATATTTAAAAACTAAGTGTCTATGACTAGGAGACAAATAAACCCATAGAACCATATTTTTGTAAGTAAGACAAAATCCAGACATTGAAAATGCATCATTTGCAATATCCACCAATAATTTTGTTACCTTATAGCTCCAGCTGACATGATGCAACCAATAGGGCCCAAAAGGTTTAATATTTAGGAAACCTAAACTATGAAGAACCAAAAACAACTCCTCATCCAGTATAATGGATTGAACAAAAGAAGAGTCCCTTTCGGCATTCATCTACATATTACACAAAAGAGGCAACGATACTCAAATTCAACAAACAATATGTCATGAACCTAAAACAATTATTCATGAACATTGATTCCAAAGGAAATGATAAAGACCTTACCTCGTTTGTGGAATTAACTACTGCATCAACCTCGAGATCCCATGGGTGACCCCGCCAAAGATAAATTTTTGAACTGATTTCATGGTCCACAGGGAACCTTGAAACACCTCCTTCAAGACCAGTGTCCCCTTCACTTGAAGTCATCAAAGGATCAGAAAAGTATGAATTGGAAAACGAAGGATCTTCAACCCCATCAACTGATATAGATCGCTGCTCTGCATCACTCCAACGAGGAACTTGGTCAAGTTTCACGACATAATCCCCACCACTATCAGTGGGTATTCCACCTCGACTAGTGGCTGAAGTCACCGGTCGATACATTTTTTTCAGAAAATGCTGAGATTTCTTGTATATTGATGGCCACAAGAAAAGGGAAATTAAAAGCCAAATTCACCAATCATCAGGAACTCGTATTCCCCAAATTTCATCCATTTTTTGGCCCATTCGTCCAATCCCAGAACAAGAAAACGCTAGAAAACCAGACTCCTAATTCAAGGAATTGAACCTTAAAAATGGAAGCTGTAAGACACCAAATAAAATTTCCCTGAACCCAAATCCTAGAAACAAAATACAAAATAATATCTTGTTTATAAGGCACTCAGTTCAAATCATATAATTTAGAACTACAAGCACTCCCAAATCCCAAAATTGAGATCCTTTTAACACAAAATCCGTGTTTTATCTATATCTATCGCCATTCACGATAGCAATTCAGCTAATATCACCACGAATTCATGGAAACACCATCAAATATCATCACAAATTCAATAAATTAAGGATTTCAAACTAAAAGATATAGCAGATAGAACCTCAAGGACGCAAATATTCCATGAAGGATCGATACATTCCAACTGCTACTGTGAAACCCTAATTTTCCCCAATAGAAGGTTGCTCTAATGAATAAAACCTCAATTAGAATGCGAGTCCTGTATTTCAGCATCAACCATGATTGAAGCTACTGAATTTAGGGTTTTCAGCTTCCCTCTCTATATCAATAGAGAGAGAGAGAGAGAGAGAGGAGGAACGTAGTAGAGTAAGTAGTTAATTAGTTAGGTTACTTTCGTTTGTTCGACACTACGTACCGGTCCGTACGAAAGGTAAAACGTTAAAAAACGGAAAAAAAACCGTACC